GACACTTTGATGTAAAAGAAATAGTAGTATTTTCTCTAGGGGCAAAAGTGGTCAATCTAAAACCAATCTAGAGAACCACAAGGAGACAAATTTTAAAAGAGAAATGCTTCAGGGCTAGAGATGGACCCTTGCACACAGCAGGCAAGTGCTCTCCCACTGAGCTAATTAGCACATTCCCTAGCCCAGGATTCAATTCAGTGTGAGGAGGAATCTTTTGAAAGCTTGTCTCACTTCCGTTTTCTGTTTCCTATTCTATTTGGGAGTTGGAACGCCTAAACAGATCTTTAGTTTTACTTATCTGTCTTCTCCCCCTGCCCCCCTTTTGTACTCTTATTGTATTTTCTGGGGCATATCCTTATTTTTATCTTTGTTTTCTTTTGTTTTGTTGAGATAGGGTCTCCCTGTAGCCCTAGCTGGCCTGAACTATATAGACCAGGCTAGCCTTACAGCGATCTGCCTGCTTCTGCCTCCCTAGTGCTGAGTTTAAAGGAATACACTACACACCTAGCTATTTTTATTATCTTATTGCTTGTATTTTAAATTTCAAAACCATTTGCCCATGAACACCCTTTTTATAGCATCCTGGTTTTGTTTTACTTGTAGAATATCGTCTCTTTTCTCTGAAGAGTTTATGTTTTTGAAAATTTTCTTTTTTCTTTACTAAATCATCTTGGCCTCCTCAAAGCGGTTGTTTTTCCTGCCTCTTGAAGTTTTTTAATAGTGGAGACTTTTAAATATTTTATTATTTTTTTATTTTTATGTGTATGAGTATAATGATTGCATGTAGGTGGGTGCACCCATGCAGTGCAGTACCTGAGGAGGTCAGAAGAGGGTGTCATGTCAGATTCCCTGGAACTGGAATTAAACACAGTGATTAGCTGCCATGTGGGTGTTGGGAATTGAACCGTGGTCCTCTGCAAGAGCAGCCAGTGCTCTTAACTGCTGAGCCACCTCTCCAGCCTCAATAGTGGAGAATTTTTAAATACTTACTGCTTGTGTTCTTGTTTGCTATTCTTTTCACTGGGGATTGCTATGACAGTTGCTATACCTCCTGAGTGCTGGGATTGCAGGAATGGACCAACGTGCACAACTTCATTTCTTGATATGCTTGTTGGGCTTTGCTGCTTTGTTTTTTCTTTATTTTTGAGGCAGGATCTGACATTGTAGACTACGCTAGCCTGGAACTCATGGCAGTTCTCCTGCTTCAGCCTCCCCAGTGCTGGGATTACAAGCAATGGCCACCACACTCAGTTTGTCCTTCTCCCCTGAAGGGACAAAACCCAACCAAACCAAAAACCAACCAAACAATAACCCTTAATTTGTAGACTTCTGTTGAATTCCATTCCATCTTTATGATGCATTGTGTGCACTCACATATACCTGTTGTCCAAGAATCTTCCTGTCCACCCACTGGAGGCTTCACTCTGGAGAAGTGGTGGTCTGAGATCACATTTTGCCACTCAGTTCTCTAGCTCAACCTTTAGAGTTCCCCGTTGCTGCTGAAACTGTCGGGATCTGGAGTGATTCTGTTTGTATTTTCTTCTTCCATGCTTATGTTTGAGCTTCATGGGCCTACTTGGTCACTTTATCATTCTTTGACCTTTCTAGCTTCCTTACACTCTCGTCTTCAAACTTGATTTATCTTTTTAGGCTTTTGCCCTTTAATAAAAAAATAATGTTATTAAAGGAAAAAATGCATACAATCTACCAGGTTTAGACAGAAACAACTCTTACAAATGTTTAATCATGGAATGTATTGACTGGACATTAGGTCAAGTCTAGTTTGTAGCAGGGGGAGCAGAATTCTGTCTTCCGTCCTGTGGAGTGTTTGAAATGCTGCAGAGTACAGCGAAATTGGATGGGAGATGTTATGGCGTGCTCTCCCCAGGCTCACGTTTGAGCACTTGGTCCCCAGCCTGTGATGCTGTTTAGGAAGGTTGTGGAGATTTTAGGAGGTGGAGCCTTGCGAAAGAAGTTTTTAATCCCCCTGGAGCTGTGAGTGAAAACAAAGCCCTTCTCCCTTAAATTGCTTTTGTTAGGATATTTTATCACAGCAAAGGGAATATAACTAAGACAGGAGACAAAACCAAATAGTATTTGCAACAGAAACTTCTCAGTAACCATTTCGTTTCATCTAAATGTTACCAATCCTTGAATTTTTAGATGGGCACACAAGTATCCACAATAAAATTCCATGTTTCCCAGCTTCCCTGCAGTAATGTGTAAGCAGCCGGGTGACTAAGTTCCTACTAAGGGGAACTGGGATGATGTATGAAATTTTCTGATCTTGCTGTGTTGGATGGGCGTGTCCTCCGAAAGAACTAGACAGTCACTCCTCCCACCCAATCGGTCAGTTTCAGTTTGGGGGTGCGGGGAAGAGGAATCTAAGGACAGATCAGGAGGAAGCTGGGAAGTGGAGAAAAGCTGCAATCTTGGCAGGGCACTGGCAGCAGGAGATCTCAAAAGGTCAGCCGAGACACAGGGGAAAGAGCCTATGGGCATTCATCCCTTTGTAAGTGACCTCCCTCCTGAATAGCATAAACATGGTTGGCAAGCCCAAATAAATATCCTTATTTCTCAAACTGTAACATGGAGGGATGTTGTGCTGGTTTTGTTGGTTGGGTGTAGGGACAGTGGGGCCTGGGAGCTGAGAGAGTGCTCCGGCGGGTCTCCCAGGAGAGAATGGCATTATGCGCTGTTAAAGTAAAGCATCGTGTTGCTTTTACATTTCCCAAGGCCTACAGCGTATTATAGAGAGGGCACTGTCATAGTCTTTGTGAGACAGCAAGGGCAGCACAGCAACAGGAAAGGAGCCTAGTTGATGACAGCTTCATGCAGCAAGATACGATGCCAGTTTGGGATTTAGTGCCAAAGAAATTTCTTCTATCCTTCTGAAATACAATTTGAGGTTGGGGCTCTGTTTTTCAAAGGATGTGAAATTATATCTTTTTAATTTTTTAAAAATTTAGTATATTTAATTTATTTTTTTATGTGTATGAGTGTATTGCCTGCATGTATGTAAGTACACTTGTATCATGCAATGCCTGCAGAGGTCAGAAGAGGGCATCAGATTCCCTGGAACTGGAGTTACAGATGGTTGTTAACTGCCTTTAGGTTACTGGGAACCCAAGAGCAGCCAATGCTCTTAACTGCTGAGCCATTTCTCCTGCCCCATGAAATTATATCTTAACCATCATGAATTTTAAGATTTCTTTCAATTCTAAGAATCTATAAAAATAGTAAGAAAATACAGAAATTCCATTTTCAGTAACATAATGAAAAGTCAAGGTAGAGTAAGGTATGAGGCACTCAAAGAAAATACTAAACTTAAAACAGCTAATCTTAAAAGTAAAAGCAACCAGGCCCATGGCACATGCCTTTATCCTAGCACTCAGGAGGTAGAAGCAGTGTTCAAGGCCAGCCTGGTACATACTGAGTTCCAGGCCAGCTGGGCTACAGGGAGACACTGTCTTAAAGAGACATAAAAAAGGAGCAAATTTGTTACATGTGCTATCCCTGCACTGTGATAGCCATCTTACCGAATTCACTTGTGGATAAGATGAACGCCCTTTATTACATATCTACTGCCTTAAAAGCCCAATAGTGAATTACAGATGGCAGAAGAAACATATGGCAAACTTAATGGTGAACTTTCTTGAGCACAGTGCATTAGTTGCTTCTCCTGTTGCTGTGATAAAATACCCAACAAAAGTCACTTAAATATGTAGACCTGAGCCTGGTGTGGTGGTGCATGCCTGTAGTCCCAGCACTTGGGAGGCAGAGGCAGGCGGATTTCTGTGAGTTCAAGGCTAGCCTGGTCTACATAGTGAGTTCCAGGACAGCTGGGGCTACAGGGAGACCCTGTCTCAAAAAGACGAAAAAAAAAAAAAATGCAGATCTTACCTACCTGCATATTCAGGAACTATTTGTGCCACTTATTTGGTTTAGTGTCAGGCCAGTCAGGCTGTTCTATTCTGTGATATTCATACTTCATGTCCAAGTAAGTAAATATATAATGAATAATTTCTGCTCTCCCCCTCCTATTAAAAGTTTGTACTTTGGCTTACAGTTGCAGTGGATACAGTCTGTCATGACAGGAGCAGCATGCAGTATGATCAAGTGGTGGCTGGCCACATGAGTCCACAGTCAGGAAGCACAGACTTGCACTCAGTTTGCTTTCTCCTTTTTTATCCAGCTCAGGACCCCAGTCCATAGAATGATGCTGCCTGAATTCAGAGTGAGTCTTCCCACCTCAGCTAACCTCATGTAGAGAATCCCTCACAGATAACACCCAGAGGCTACTGTAATCTAGATAATCCCTCCCTCGCATGCCCAGAGGCTTGTCTCTTAAGTGATCCTAGATCCTGTCAAGCAATTTTTTTTTTCTGTCTGTCTGATTGAGTCGCATGGGTCTTGTGCATACTGTTACCATTTGACAAGCAATTTTAACCATCACAAAATGAAAATAAGATTCTCTATCTCACCAGTGAAGAGGTTTTTGCCAAGAAAGAGTGAGTACAGGGGTAGTGATTTTTTTAAGGAACTTAGGTTTCTAAAAGGGCATGTGGCAATTCACTGTTAATACATCAGTTATCATAGTGTTGTTGATTTTGGCATTGGGTACTACAAATAACTGATTATGAAAATGATCTAGATGTGAAATTCAACTTTTCTTGCCAAAGTTGCAAAACTAAAAAAATTACCTAAACCCTATGTACTTTAATTATTCCAACTATGAAACAGAAAATGTAGCTTGTCCCAGTCAGTTTCCGCTCTTCTGACCAAGCTTGCTCCCAATGTATTTTTCTAGCCTCTTTCTACGGGATTGGTGTTTTCTCCTGTATAGAAAACTTGCCAAGTTGCAGAATGTTTATTTAGTTTACTTGAACAGCTGCTTCTCAATTTAAAGCTCTGTGGAACCCAGTTTCCATTTCCCTGAGGGAAGAAGAAAAATTCTGAAAATAGATCCAGCGTATTCAGGAACGATTTGTGCCACTTACTTGGTTTGATGTTAGGCCAGTCAGCCTGTTGTATTCTGTGATCTTCATACTTTATGTCCAAATAAGCAAATATATAACGAATAATTTCTGCTCTCCCCCTCATATTAAAATAAATCAATTTGTAGCTTGGCATGGTGCAATTCTGTAAAGAGAAAAAAAGGAACTTTTTTCTTTTTATGTATGTTTTAAATTCTTTGGCAGTTTTATCCATGTATATCATGAATTTCAATCATTTTAACTCCCTTTACTCTCTCTCTTCTCCTCCTTCTTCTTCCCAAGTTCCCTACCTACTTTCAAACCTTTTGGGTATGTGTGACTCATTGATTTTAATTACAGCCATTTGCAGTGAGCATGCATGGGCAGCTGTGTGCCAGAGTGCAGGTAACTTAGCAGTGGCTACATCACTGAAGAAGGTGACATTCAAGAGGGAACATTTTAGCACCACTCTAGAGATGTCTAGATTTTCCTCGGGTGACCCTTATGGAAACATATTGTGAAAGAACTAGAGCTATTAGAAGATATTTCAAAGCAAAATTATAACTCACTATCTAGTAATGTATAGGAAGACTTGACCCAGAAAGGATCTGCTCCCGTCCCTCTGTCTCTTTCATTCTATTCTTTATCCCCTCTCACCATCTTTCCCTCTCAGCTTCAGTTGGAACATTCTAATGAAATGCAGATACTCATATTAAAAGTATATCTGAGAATGGAGCAAAGGATTTTTTTCCATTTTATGGTGTGTGCTGGATGGCTTTGGTGTCAACTTGACACACCTGTGTTGAGGGAGCCTCAACTGGGGAATTGCCTCTATTGGACTGGTCTGTGGCCATGTCTGAGGGGCATCTTCTTGATGAGTGATGTGGGAGGGCCCAGCCCACTGTGGGTGGTGCCACCTCTGGGCAGGTGGGCCTGTGTTGCATAAGAAAGCAGGCTGAGCAGGGGCCAGGGGAGCAAGCCAGTAAGTAGTGTTCCTCCATGGTCTGTGCTCTAACTCCTGCCTCCAGGCTCCTGCCCTGAGTTCCTACCTTGGGCTCCCGGATGAACTGTGACTCAGGAGATGTAAGATAAATAAACCCTTTCCTCCTCAAGTTGGTAGTAGTCAGAGTGTTTTGTCACAGCAATGAAGAACAAACTAGGACATGGTGTTTCTGCCCTTTTGACATTTTTGTTTGTTTGCTTGTTCTGGTGACAGTTCAGAGATGGTGAGGACAGCTGGGTAGGTGCCCAGCTGGCATTCCTGTCTTCCCTCACTGAGCTTTTCCTTCTAGGCATCAGAGGCAGCCCTGGCCTGGCTTCAGTCACTGCACTCCTAATGCCAGGTCTTACTGAGCTGTTTGTACCATTCAAACATACCCCATGTTGAAACCTCTGTGCGATGAGAGGATAGTCAGCTACTCCATCCCTCTGTAGGGGGAGAAAGCAAACTTCTCACATGTCAGAAAGTGTACTACTGTCATATGTAGTTTTATGAGTTTTCTGTGGTCTCATTTTGTCACTTTATAAACAATGATTTGAAGTACTTATAGTGGAAGGTATGTGGTTTCATAGGACCAGGCAACCTATAAACATTTTCATTTGAAACTGAATTCTACTTAGTTACTCTGTGCCTTTGGGCTAAATTTCAACGTCCACTCTTTTAAAAAAAAATTAT